CTGTAACTTTCACTCTATGCATCTGAAGAAGTGAGGTTTTTCACCCACGAAAGCTTCTGCCCAAATAAATCTGTTAGTCTTTAAGGTGCCACCAGATTCCTTGTTGGTTTTTTTAAGACAGTAAATGGATCAGTGTTAGGGCTAGTTTTTCTTCACTTGATATATGAGCTAGTATGTGGGAGGAAGAGACATTGGAATAACAAACTTTGCCAGTGATACAAGCAAATGCCAGGGAGTATTTGGGCCTCTTGCCGGTAATGAAAGCCCCTCACCCTAGCTCCAGGGACTCTAGACAGCTATTGGCTCTTTTAAGATATGTATTTTCAGTGGTAGCAATAAAGAAAATCTATGCTTACTGCTGACTTTTTTTTTTAAACCATCCTGCAGAATTCTATAGCAGGGATATAATTTTCTATTAAATTCATAGCAAGGTCCAAAAGACCTGTAGAAAAGTTATCATTTGCTATTAAAATCTACAGAACTTTTCTACAATGGGCACGTTTTCTTGTGGCCGTGTTGGCATGGCACAGTATGTATTTTCTACAGTGGCAACCACTGGGGAGTGCAAATTTCACTAAGAAAGCAAAACAATGTTTTAAGTCTTCCAAACTTGACCTTGTCTTACCAAAATGTTTAGTATTGTTTTTGTCAGCCAATCAGTTCCTTTGGTAATTTCCATTCCTCATAACAACATTCACAAATTCCAAATTGCATTTACTTCATCTGAGAAGTAAGCTGGAGTGATAAAAGATTTAGCAGGAGGAGACGTTCATTTTTCAGTGGTGCTTTTGAAACCTGAAAAACTTTGGCAAAGTTCATGAAAGGCTGTTACAAAATCAGAAGAAATATGTCTGTCTACTTCAGTCCTGGGCAAACTGACTTTAAAATGCTGCAATGTGGGTGTTTGGGGAAGCAAATCTCTTTCTGTAGATACATGATGCCCCAACTCCTTAAATCTGAACTTCATTACACCAGTAGAGAGCGCAGGGTTTGCAGTGGCTGTAGTGAGGTTCTGTGAGGACTCCTGTGGACCGAGAATCAAGGACATGCATCTATAGAAAGCCTAACGGTACCTCCTTGGACACCGTTCCCTGGGTCAGAAGGAAGATGCTTTGGATAGTCTGTGACGCTTTTCCAGATCGACGCGAAAGGAAGCACCCGAGGTGCAGAGCGAGGCTCCAGCTGGTCAGAGCAACTGCAGAAGCAGCCAGAGCCATTCAGGGAACTTCCTACAGCTCTGTCAGACCCGCTGTTCCCTGTGTTGATTGGCTGTTTGCTCCAACCTTCCCCATTCCCCTCCCCCACACCTGCCTCTCCCACTCTCTTCTCCCCAGGCCTGCCCCTTCACCCCTCTTCCTTTTAATGTCACGGCCCCCGTCTCTGTCCTTACCATTCAGCTGATCACCTAGTTACCTAACTCAACTGGGGCACCCCCAGGCTGTCTGCAGCCATCCCATAGTTCACTCTGCTGTTCTGGTCTCCCCCTCCCCGACCCTGCATCTGTCTGCTTTATTTTGATTGTCGGCGGTTCGAGGCAGGACTATTGGCTGCTCTGTTTTTGTACAGCACCTAACACAATCAGCCCTACTCTTTGTTGGTCATGAGGCACTACTGTAATCAACATGATTGATAGTAATAAATGAACTGGAGGCCGCTTAAGTGACTGCAGAAATCCACTGTTATGTTTCAAGGTCACAAAGCACACGCTGTGTTCTGCTCAATGAAATACTGAAATCAATGAAAAATGAGTACAAATAGGGTAATAGGAACACTCTTCGCTCTGACAAAGGGAAGCCCTGATGCGTCTGTATTTAAATTATACGGGCTAACTGTTCAGGTGGGGGCGCTGGATCAATATGTGTAACGTTCCTACCCCATAACTGTCCTGCACCGTGCTGTAAACACAGCTCTCTCTGCTCAGTCACACGCATTGGTGCAGATGGATATTTTATTAACATTGCTCTGGGGTATGTCGATTTGTTTCGTATGCTTATTTGTTCTGGTTCTGTGAAAGGAACTAGCCTGAAGTTTGTCGAGAGTTGAGAAAGGGGAAAGAAAAATACATAGCCCGAGAAGGGAAAGTGAACTTTAATCACAGTACTTTGAGAAATGGAATTAGCTAAAACAATTTTTTTAAAAATGGTTGCTCTTATTCTCTTGCCAGAGAACTGGTTAGTTTTGGGCTATGGTTGTGATAGAAGTTAGATACATTGGGCCAAATTCTTGATTTCACTGGAATTTTGCCAATTTATAGCAGCAGGGAATTTTTTTTACTGCATGTTGTGATCTGGTATCTGTGTCCTGCAGTGACATGAAGCAGGTGGCAACAGGTACCCATGGGAGGAACAGTGTGCTGTATTAGAATAAATGTCACCTATAGGTGGAGTGTGAAATGAGACAGTGGTCTCAGTCAGACTCCATTGTCCCTACTGATACTAACTGGCCCCTTGCTAGCAATACTGAGTGTGGACTGTGCAGACAAAACTCTCCTGGCTACAAGAGGTGGTCCCACCAGGGCCGGGCTGAAGCATGTTAACCCCGTGTGTTGGTGAATCTTGCAATGCTGCTGTCTCTGCTGGAGATGAACAGAAGGCATTGGGATCCAGGGATGTCCATCTGGTACCTTCTTGAGCACTGAACTGTTATTAAAAACAAAGGTATTTTTGTGGGTGCTGAGTGGCTTAGTGGCCAGGGCACAGGGTGGGGAGACCGGGGTTCTATTCCCATCTCTCCCTGTGGCTTGCTGGGTGACCATCTGCAAGTCACTGTAACCTTTCCGTGCCTCAGTTTCCCCATCTGTAGAATGGG